TTGTGCCTTTATCTGTGCAGAAACTTTTTAACTTGATCACATCCCATTCATTTATTTCTGGTGTTGCTTCAATTGCCAATGGGATCTTCTTCATAAAATCTTTTACCAGGCCAATATCATCAAGAGATTTTTTTCACACTTTCTTATCATTTCTTGCTCAAGTTTAAATATTTTACCAGTGTGGGTCAATTTTTCTAAGTAGTGAGAGGTGTGGGTTCAGTTTCATTCTTTTTTGTTGTTGTTGTTTGTCACAAAACAATGTTTTATTTTCTTTAAATACTTTTAAGACAGGGTCCAGGATGGCCTCCTGGGCTCAGACAACCTCCAGTAATGCCTGTTCAGAAGGCTTATGGGAAGGGGGTGCTGGCAGATAACAGAGCAGAGGAAACCCAGGCCAGACCTGAGTGAAGCTCAGGAGGTCTGAATGGCAGGCTGTTTGGAGGAAGGACTGATGAGTGCATCCAAGTGGAAACAAGTTGCTCTTACTATGCCTTTCTCAACCAGCGCAGTTTCATTCTTTTACATGTGGCTAATCAGTTCTCCCAGCACCATTTATTAAATCCTCAGTGTATGCTTTTGTTTGGTTTATCAAAGATGAATATGCTGCTGGTTTCCTCTCTAGGTCCTCTATTCTATTGCATAGATCTATGTCTCTGTTTTTGTGCTAGTACCATGCCATTTTGATCACCATAACTTTGTAATATAACTGGAAGTCTGGGAATGTGATGCCTTCAGATTTGTTTTTATTTCTTAGAATTGTGTTGGCTATTTGAGTTTTTTCCTATCCGCCCTCCCCCCCCCCAAGGTTAAATGTCAAATCTAATGAAGTACTATTTTTTTCAAGATCTTCAAAGTATAACATTGGTGCTTTAATGGGGATGGCATTAAATTTGTGGATGCCTTTGGAAAGTTTGGAAATTTCTATAATGTTGATTCTTCCTAGCCATGAGCATGGCATATTCTTTTATTTGTTAAAGTCTTCTGCTATTTCTGTTCTCAAGTTTTCATAGTTCTCTCTGTAGAGGTCCTTCATATCTTTAGTTAGTTATATTACCAGGTATTTCATATTCTTTGATGCTATTGTGAAGGGTGTTGTGTTTTGATAGAATTCTCAATGTGACTGTTTTGGTGTATATGAAGGCTCCTGATTTGTGGACATTGATTTTATATCCTGAACCATTATTGTATTTCTTGATCACTCCCAGGAGCCTTATGTAGGAATCCCTGAGGATTTATAGATATAAGATCATATTATTAGCAAAGAGCAAGAGTTTGTCCTCCTCTGTCCCCATTTTAATATCCTTGATATACTGGAACCAGACAAAGATGTCCACTGTCACCATTATTATTCAACATAGTAGCTCAAGGTGGCATCAATTTCATGAGTTCCAAATGTTGGAAAAAGGATCCTAAGCATTGAAAAGAACTTTGAATTATGCTACACAAGGGGATTTCTTGTAATGTCACATTTTGTATGTGTATAAGGCACCACTTTATGAACAAAAGAATAGAAGACTGGTTTAATGAGGTGTGGGGAAACATGCTTACATCTGTTCTTTTACGCTTCCTCATTCTTAGCCCAGCTTACATTCTTGTATCTCTTTCAAACATCTTATTAATAGATTACTAAGCTGCTCTCTCTCTCCATAATTACCAACTCAGCTGTTAATCTGTGAAACTTCTAGGGAAGTTCCAGATGATGGGAATGAAAGAGCTAAGGAAATTTCACCCCAAAATATGACTCCTTGGCATAAAGAATATTTTGAATTAAAGACCATTCATAATCAGAAAGCATTGAAAGAGGCCTTTCCTCTCTCTACATAAAACCTGAGTAACCTGATTGAGAATCAAAAAGGAGCTGCTGACTTTCTTATTGCATGCTAATAGACCTGGCACCAGGGTCATTTGAAGTAGGAGACCTGTCTCTCAGCTTAATCTACAAATAAATCTGTTTCCACCCATCTACACACATCCCTCCTAGCAACCACTTGTTGCATACATACTTTCCACATTCTCCCCCCCCCCCTTCTAAAAGGCATCTATAAAAGTTTCTGATCATCACTGGGTCTTTGGGTTATCATTCTTGTGGTTCCCCCCATGCACGTGGGTTTTTTTTCTTGTGGTTTGTTTGTTTTGTTTTATTTGTTTGTTTATTTGTTTTAGAAACTGTTTGTTTTAGAGACAGAGTCTCACTTTGTCACCCTTGGTAGAGTGCTATGGTATCACACCTCACAGCAACCTCCAGCTCTTGGGCTTAGGTGATTCTCTTGCCTCAGCCTCCGGAGTAGCTGGGAGTACAGGAGCCCAGCTATTTTTTTGTGTTATTGCAGTTTGGCCAGGGCTGGGTTCGAACCTGCCACCCTCAGTATATGGGGCTGGTGCCCTACTCACTGAGCCACAGGAGCCACCCCACATGGTTTTTAGAAATAAACCTTTCTCTAAGTAATATATCATAACTGTGAGATGATCTTTTAGCAAACCAACAAAGGGAAAAGGGCAGGTTTCACCCTGATCCTTACAGTTCTTTCACTCTACATGTGGTTTCACCACCACTTACAAACTGTGTGATGTTGGGTAAAAACTTTACCACTTTGCAGCTCACTTCATCATCTATAAAATAAGGGTGGTTATAGTAGGACTTGGCTTACTGAGCTATAAAGATGAAACCAACATAGGTAAAGTACTTAGGATGAAATAGGTGTTTTATATTTTGAACTTATTTTATTTATTTATTATTTATTATTATTTGGACAGAGTCTACCTCTGTCACCCTGGTAGATTGCCCTGGAGTCATCAAAGTCCCAGAAACCTCAAACTCTTGGGTTTAAATGATCCTCTTGCATCAGCTTCCTGAGTAGCTGAGCCTATAAGCACACACCAAGACATCTGATTATTTTTTTTCCCATTTTTTAGTAGATATGGGGTCTTCCACTTGCTCAGGTTGGTCTCCCTGAGCTCAAGCAATTCACTCTTCTTGACCTCCCAGAGTGCTAATGATATAGGGTTCTCCCATGCAGGGCTGGACAGGGACCTTTTCTAGGCCCAGGCAATTTAATGTAAGCCAGGCCTCTTCTGAAGTAACCTCCCTGCTGTTTTGCTGGAAGATGGAGGGACTGCATTCATTTGTTAATATACTCATCAATATTGAAAAGATATCTTCTTAATCCTATCTTACTACTGATCTGTGGTCCACGGGTTCATTCTTCAAATCTCTGAGACTAAAGACCTACTGGAGGAATTCCTCCAACACTAGGATTACTGGCATGAGCCACCATGTGCTTGTCCTAAATATATTTTCCTTTAAATTTTTTTGCTAGCACTTCCATGCTTATATTTTCATATAAATCTCTGTAGCCTTTAAGTATCGAAAAAAAAAAAAACTCTTTCAGTGTTTTAATTAAACTGACATCATTAATTTTTTTGTAAATTTAAAATTAATCTTGTCATGTATAAAATTGATATAATATTGCATTTTATAATATTGATATTTCTAACCCAAGTACATTACTTTCTATTTTAATTGTTTCTTAGTTTTAAAGTTTTTTTCACTTGTTCAAATTTATAATTAATTTTTTGATTTTATTTCTGTGTATTTCTGTTTATTTCATCCATTTTTAGTAGCACCTATAAGGGGGGGTAGCCTAACATAACAAAACAGTTACTTTTTTTATTAATTATAAAATCTTTATACATTCTCTTTAATGGTAAAAGATGATAATGCCTATCTAGTTTTTATTATTTACACACATTGGCAATACCAATAAGAATTTCAAAGTAATACTTACCAATGAAAATTGTTAAGTTGCCCAAGCTAATTCCATCTTAGATCTGAAAAAAACATTCTGTGAGACTCGGTTATAGGTGGTTATAACTCAGATAATAGAGACATGCCACAGGCTCTTTGCCTCCTTGCAATTCTCCAGTTACAAACCCATAAGAAATATGCTTACACCACAAGCCTCTGAAAACTCTGATAGGAAGAGCTGGCCAGAGAGTTTCAATAATGAGCTGCATGTCCTTAGCACCTTGATGAGAAAGACTTGTCTGTAAAGCCAACTGCTCTTCAGCCTGCCATAAAAACAACTGCCTCCCTCCATAACGTGGCTGACATCTCCTTAGATTTCAGCCTGCTTGTACTCCAAGGTAAAATAAACTTCTGGTATGTTTGTTACATTTGGTGTTGTGTGTTTTGATCTGGGCCATTTTTTTACCCATCAAAAATTAGGGGGACACTTAAAAACAGTCTCTCCCCATCCCTAATCTCTACTTGTATACTTGATCAAGAAATGAGATTAGGAATACTAAGATTTTTGAATCACACTGATAAGACCCAAGTCTGGATGACACTGGAGATTCATTTCCTGTCCCTGTTTGGCAGCTCAGCTGGAAACTGGCTCATATGGACTGAACAAGTCTGTAGGCAGGCATTCAAAGCCAATCTTAGTTTTCTTAACCTGCAAAAGAGTTCCTTCAGTAGACAGACCTTGGCCATCAGTGTGCATATTCCCTGGCATCATTCTTAGGCCTTAGATCCCTTACTACATATCTTGCAACTTAGAGATATTAAGTATTCCCTAGCTCTTTTTAGGCAAGCACATACCTAGGTAACAGAGTGAAGGGATGGTGCTTACTTTCCCACTCTCTTTGGAAGTGCTCTCTCCGGCTAAGCCAACCCTTCTATCCAGATCTTTGCTATGATACATACAGAACATCCAAGCCAAGCCACTACTGTGGACTAGTGAGAACTGCTTCCTTTCTGTGATTTTTCTTTCTTTCTTAGTTTTTGTCCTATAAAATCTGTACCATGCAATCCTAGTTATTCATGTACCCTTACATGACTAATACTATTGCCCAAACACAATTTTGAAAGTTACTGTATGTAGTAGTCATAAGTAACGAGAAAACGGAAGAACTATGAGGAACACAGATGTTCCCTTTTGTAATAGATTTCTGCTCTTGAAACCACAGATAGCCTGCAGCTTGTTTGCAGACATATAAGTGGTGGGTACAGTAGGTGTATAAACAGAAGTTTAAGCTTGTGAATTTAAGTTTTAGTTTATAAACAAAAGTTCAAAATCGTAGGTTCTCTTCAACATTCAACTGTTAGCTCACTTTTTTTCATTTCTGACACTTTGTCATACTTGCATATCTATCAATGTCTGAAGAAGTTACCTATGCAGATCTGAGATTCCAGGGCTCCAATAAGACAGAAAATACCCAAGAATTTGACGAACTTAAGAAGAAAGGTAAGATTTTGGGCTATGGGTGTATTATAAGGTGGTGGAAGAGGTTATAGCCATGTACTTTACGTATTAGTGAGTGATATTGATATCATCCTATTTGAATTTTGAATTAAGCCTTCCATATTTCAAAGGTACAAAAACCAAACAAAATGGTTATAAAAGATTTTGTAAAAATGCATACTAGTGCACTGAATACTCTCAATCTTTTACACGTTTTTCTATTTTTGATATTATACTCAAGATAATTGGGATAGTATTTCTCAAATGATTGGGTTTCATTTTTTTTTTAATTCTCATGAGATAAAGCCATGGAACAAAGAACATATGTAGTCCATGAAAGTTATAATTTTATATGTTTGTATGAAAGTGTGTGTGTGTGTGTAAAAGAGAGACAAATAGCCAGAGGGACTTTTCAAAGACTCACTTGACTGTTTACCAAATTAAAAACATATTACCTTAAAATTTCTCCTACTTCTTTTGGAGATTTCTTCCCAACTTACAAAAAAAAAAAAATGTTTAGTAAGTTGGGAAGAAATTAAAATAATTTAATTAAAATAATAATTCTCTCCTTTTCTTTCTCTTCCTTTTCTTATTCCTTTCTCTCTTTCTTTCTTTGTTTCTCTTTTCAATGCAGAAAGTGAGACACAGATGAGTTAAATATCTTTCCCAAGGTCCCACAAGTGATAAGCAGCAGAAGCAGGATTCGAGCCCTAAGGACAGTGTTGTGGTTTTTGTCACTATGAGATTCTGCCTATAAATGTGTCTATCTTACCTACCAACATTCTAAATCAAAATTTCATAAGTTTGTGCTATAGATTCTAACTTCAAAATTTATACTTAATCTTTCCATAGGTCATTAAATCTCCTAACACCAGTAAATCAGCTATGATTCTCTCTCACATGGTGGATTGCAACAGGATTTTTATTCTTCTACCTGCTTTATACTGCAATTCATTTCCAAAATTAGACTTTAAACTAGATGTTCTTGCTGCCTGTAATGATCTTCCCACTGATTTTGTAGGTTGGCTCCTGTTTTTCATAGAAACTGAACTATGGAATCTCTGATATAACTCATTTTCAAATGTCTGCACAGCACAGATCAATATGAGATCAATTGCTCTATCTACCATCTACTTATCTATAATCTATCATTTATATATATATATATATAATGATCTATCTACCATCTACTTATCTATAATCTATCATTTATATATATAATCATTATATACAATGATAAATATTGTCATATATATATATACAGACACATTTATATACATATATTCATCTACTACTTCTCACAATTACAATTTATCTCCATGAGAGCACAGACTTGTGTGTCTTACTTCTGTATTGTTAGTACCTGGAATAATGTCTGCCCTTGGTATTAGCTAAAAGGCTGAAATTGATTAGAATATTGTCTAGTGTATAGAAGGTACTCACTAGGTGATATTTGAATAACTAGATTTATACATAAATGAGAAAATAATTTTAAGAAATATAGCACTTGAATTTGTAATTCTAACCTTAGATTAAATTTTGACCACATAGTTCTTTCACTGGTAACTACTTTCCAAACTGTAAAGAAGTTTCACATTTTATTAGCAATTCTGTCTGGATTTCACAATATTATTGCACCACTCACTGTGAGATGTAAAACATAGCTCAAAAATAAATATACAGTAAAATTATCATGTTATTTCAGAATTGTATTTTCTCTAAATATCTAGTCTTTACACACATGCATTATGATAATTTAAATCATGGTGATTTAATTATAATTAATTCATAATGTAAAGTTCATTCCTCTTTTTTTTAAATAGGAAAATGATCTGTTTTGAATAGCACTGTTCAGTAGAAAAGGGAATCAATAAAATTTTCTTACCAAAAAACACGAAAAAATATTGAAAACTCCTAATAAAGAAAGTCTATGGATTTGGGCAAGCTAAGACTAAGGATTGATAGGAAGGACAGGCAGAGGTATTGCAAAGAAACAACCTATCTTTTACATTCTGCACCCCAAATCTCAGGATTATCTGGGGAATACATAAACAACTGAAACTGTTTTCTTTGACATGTAGCAATTGTCTACTCAAGGAAAGACTACTCATTTTGACTTCTCTGTTAGCTGTTGGCTACTCACTTTCCGTAAATTTGTACCTGTGATTTACACACAAGTTTTACAGTATCACCTTATTGTGTATTTGTCTACGTATTTACCTTTGCTGGTGGGATTTATACTTTTTATACTCCACTCTCAATTAAACTCTGTTTTTGCCTTTCTGTTAATTGAATCACTTTACCAAGTAATAGGTTCTTTTGTGAGAACCAATTTATATGCAGAAGAATTAACTAAATACTTGTTACTTATTCTTCAAAAGGACTTAAGATGCCTTTCAATTTTTAGCAAATCACATTCCTTTATAGGGACATGTTAAGAAGGAAATAAAGGCAAGTGAATGAATGGATACATGGATGGATAAATAAATAATTTTAATGAAGGTGGATACAATTTGCTACTCTTTGTTAATTTTGCTTTAATTTTGCTTTCCCTAGCAGCTGCTGCTACCCCTTCCCATGTGTGGCGCCATGCAGTCTTGCCTCTGGGTTTTCTGTGCCTTCTGCTGTTCATTGGGATGGGAGTCTTAGGAGGCATGTGTATGTACTACCCTTGTTTTGATTGAAATTTCAATAACTTTACAACCAAAGTTTACTCTGTGAATTAAAGTGTTGTAATAATGATAAGTGGTATGAACACGAAAAAAGACTTACGATGTCATACTTCATCTCTTTCTTCACTCTTGTAGAGTAACTGCTTCCCTGTTTAGTCTTCTTTATACTACTTCTGAATAAGGTAAAGGGCAATGGCTCCATTGAGGATTTAAAATTATTTGTCATTTCTTTCTTTTTTTTTCTTTTTTTGGTCTGGAGTTTATAAAACTTTGAAGATAGAAAAGGAAAAATTTGGTAAACTACAAAATATCAATGAAGAACTTGAGAGAAATGTTTCTCTACAACTTATGAATAACACAAGTAGCTCCAACGAGTTAAGGAACCTCTCCAACACACTGCAAAAAATAGCCACCAAATTATGTTACGAGCTATACAGGCAAAAATCAGGTAATACTGTATTGGTCTTGGAATTGTTTATTAGACAATGAATTAAACTGTAGATTCCTTTAAGAATTATTGCATCATTTGCTAGTAGCCTTTCCCTAGGAAGCAATAATTTGGGGGAGGGAATTAAATATGACTGATAGAGAATTCAGCGATATTTTCATATAGGTAAAAGAAAAGCAAAACTAGTAATAACTATGGGTCCCAAAATTATCACAGGATGGATAGTTATATAATAAGACACAAGATAGTATACTGTTTCTCTAATCCATCATTTACTACTATTATTCTGGGGATTGAGGTCAACTGAAGATAGAGAGGAAATAACACCTCTTTACATATGACCTCATTCCTACATGTCAGGCAATAATTGATGACAAAGAGTCCACAGAAAAGAAATAAACTGAGGTTTTACATTTGGGATTTGGGGAGAGATGGTCTTATAATACTCATATAAATTTCTGTACGTACTGTAGCACAAATATATATCTTTTTCTCCCGAGAAGCTCTCAAATATTCAACAAGTGAGAAAGTTAGAGCTTGGAGAATATAAAACCTGGCAAAGGGAGATTGATACAGGAAGATATACTTAAATCCAAGGGCTTAATTTAAAAGTCTTTGTTCAAGTTCTGTGTCTGACACATTATGGTGATATATAGAGATCTACAATAGAGTATGTATATTCTTCCCCTTTGACATAAAATAAATAGTAAGTTCATTGTCACACAGAGAGTAAAGGAAATAAGAATGGTAAAAGCTATCAACACAAATCAAATAAAACTATGTTCTTCCTCCAGAGCACAAGTGTAAACCATGTCCAACGAGATGGCTATGGCATGAAAAGAGCTGTTATTTGTTAGATCAGGAGGAACGAACATGGCAAGACAGTAAAACAGCATGTGCTGCTCAGAATGCCAGTCTGTTGAAGATTAACAACAAGAGTGCACTGGTAAAACCCCATGTCTCCCTGCCTTTCAGGAAGGAAACCACTTTTCCCATGATCTGATAGAAGGGGGTCGGGTATGTTGGGAAGACCTGGATCCATCCACTCACAATTCTGGCTTGTTTTAGTTGGAATATGTATGAGGTGACTCAGATGCTGTACACTTTTGTCAGGATAGTATAGCTAAGATAAATCGTCTAAAACTATTGCTTAGGATGTTACCATCAATCCATCATCATATTATTTTCAAATTTTCTTTCTTTCTTTTTGTTTTCTGAGACAGAGTCTCACTTTGTCGCCCTCAGTAGAGTGCTGTGGGGTCACAGCTCACAGCGACCTCCAACTCTTGGGCTTAGGTGAGTCTCTTGTCTCAGCTTCCCAAGTAGCTGGGACTACAGGTGCCCACCACAACACCTGGCTGTTTTTTGTTGCAGTTGTCACTGCTGTTTTAGCTGGCTGGGGCTGGGTTTCAACCCACCACCCTCAGTATATGGGGCTGGTGCCCTACCCACAGAGCCACAGGTGCCACCCTATTTTCAATTTTTCAAATAACCCATACATAGTTCCTTACTAAAAAAAATGTTTTAAAGACTAGAATAAGAAAAAAATAGCTGATACTTTATCTACAAAATTCTGAACTAGTTCTAATAACTATATAACTTCATCTATAACAGCTCTCATCTGAGTTTGCTTCATTGTGTTCCTCCTCTTTTTGTTTCTATAACTCTTGTTTATAGCTATTAGTCCTCCTTTGCCTCTGGAGTATTGACTGCTAAAATTTTTGAATCCTGGAGTTTATTGACTGTTCATTGACCTAAAATTAAAGTTATACATGGATGGTGGGTCCTTTCTTCTGTAAGACAGGAAGTAATCTTGTAAAAAATGGTGAAATCGTATAGTAAGGAATACTTTCTTTCAATTGCTTTTAATGACATTGAAAAGTAGTAGTCCAATGTGAAATGCTACCTTAAAACAGTTATTTATAAGAAATTTCATTATAAGGTAATGAAAGGTATAAAAATAGGAAACAATTTATGAACAGACCATCTTTATTTCCTTTAGGACTTTATAAAACCCTGGAAATTATATGACTATTGGCTGGGATTATCTCCCGAAACAGAAAACACAAAACCTCACTTTAAAAAATTGGATGACATTTTAAACTCCTCTGCCTGGTAAGAATCTATTCTTGTTAATATTTTATACTTGCATTTGAGTAGAGATATTTTGCTCAGGGCACTGTAAATTTCGATTAAAACCAACTTAAATTGAAATTGCATTTTTAAACAACCCTTTACTTTTTTTTTTTTTTGAGACAGTCTCACTTTGTCACTCTCAGTAGAGTGCTCTAGCGTCACAGCTCATAGCAACCTCCAACTCTTGGGCTTAAGCGATTCTCTTGCCTCTGCCTCACAAGTAGCTGGGACTACAGGCACCCAGCACAACTCTGGGCTATTTTTTGTTGCAGTTGCTACTGCTGTTTTAGCTGGCCAGGGCCGAGTTCAAACCCACCACCCTCGGTATATGGGGCAAGTGCCCTGCCCACTGAGCCACAGGAGCTGCCCAAAGAACTCTTTTCTATTAGTCTTCCTTGATGTAGAAATGCAGAAAGTTGCCACAAATATTTTGTCATCATTTTGACATATCACTAACAACCTTATAGTAAGCAAGTTATGGAGAATTTCTATAAATAATACTTTTTTCCTAAAAAAATTATGGAAGCTCAGAGAATTGACTAAACTCTAACAGATACTTAATACTGTGCTAAGTTCTGTGATTCAAAGATGAATGAAAGATTTGATTTATCCTTAGAGTCACTTAACAATTATATGTGCATACTGATTGAATAATTCTAGAGATAAAAAAAAATAGTGTCATAGAAGGCTCAGTAAGAATACACAGAATAACCAGAAGTAAGTTTTGATTTGGAATTTTTTGTTATGACTGACTTTTAAAATGTGCATTTTTGAATGGAAAATTTAGAGACTATCCAGGCACAGTGACCTCATGCCTATAATCCTAGAACTCTGGGAGGCCAAAGCAGGTGGATTGCTTGAGTTCCGGTGTTTGAGACTAGCCTGAACAAGAGTGACCTTTTCCTCTTTCTCTTTCTCTTTCTCTTTCTCTTTCTCTTTCTCTTTCTCTTTCTCTCTCTCCCTCTCTCTCTCTCTCCTCTCTCTGCTCTCTCTCTCTCTTTCTTTTTTTAGACAGAGACTTACTACATTGCCCTCAGTAGAGTGCCATGGAGTCACAGCTCACAGCAACTTCAAACTCTTGGGCTGAAGCGATTCTCTTGCCTCAGCCTCCCACATAGCTGGGACTACAGGTGCCCACCACAACACCCAGCTATTTTTTTGTTGCATCAGCCCAGCTAGCCCCCACCCCATGCCCTTACCTTATAAAAACCTAGACTCCCAATTGGTCAGGGCTGTTCTCCTTACTCAGGGGAACAGTCAGCTGGCCAGTCAATAATGACTCCCAATTGGATTTTGAATTTACTTGTCTGGTGGTCATTCCTTCATGCCAAAACACCATGTTTACCAAAAACAGAAAAACTAGCTGGGTATTATGGGGAGCACCTGTAGTCCCAACTTTTTGTGAGGCTGAGGCAGGAGGATTGCTTTTAGTGCATAGTACCTGATCTCTATTCTAGTGTTTCTGGGCTGATAAGTAGTCATAACTTCAGAGTAAAATCTCTGACAAATGGCTGGAAGGAAATGTCATTTGGAGATGACAGGTGTCACATGAAACACTTCAGGAAGACAATATCAAATATTTACTACTGCACTAGTTAGATTAGAGAATCTTATGGGATGGCATTATTCTAAATCATGTTAGATATGGAGGGGGTGGGGGCACTATGTTTGGAAATGAAGGACAGCAAATATTCCACATGTGGAAGAGTAGAGAAAGCAGGAAAAAACAAATCAGTGTTTGACATTGCATATATATTAATAAAAACAATTAACTTGGACATTCTTGATACTCTACATATTAAATCAAATTTTGCTAAGATAATACAGACCATAGGGACAATAACATCACATTGAAAAAGTATTATTTTTCTTGTAGATGTGTTTCTTTTTTTTTCAAGTTGAGATTCCTTTTACTTATCCAGTAGTGGCCTCCTGTTGAACTCATACTCTTTTTGACATCTCTTGTTTGATGGCAAATATTGGAGCCAGTCACACTGCGTTCTTCCACCAACATGGTTCCTCCCTCATAGGGCCCTTCCCGGTCGACCCCTGGGGGATGTCAATGCTCCTGCCCCCACATCTTCTGGCACCCTTTAATATCTTTCAAGCATTTGACTTAACAAATGCAATTATTTTATTTTCTCTTTCAGGATTATAGAAAACATAAATGACTTAAATAATATGTATTGTGGATATATGCATGGAACATATGTTTACTATAGAGCCTGCGGATATAAATCCAAAGCGATATGTCAGAAGATGGCGAATCCAGTGAAGATTGAAAGTACATTAACGAGTGACATTCCAGATGAAAGAATGTAGTTAGTGCAACTATTTTGCTTCAGCTAATATCCTGCAAGCGCAGGTGACTTTAAAAAACATGGAAACCAGACAAATGGAATAAAAATCCTGTGACACTAAATATTTTACTCTCTCCAGACGTTTACATCTTGAAACTTTCTTCTTTCTCATTTGCTGAGTCTAAGAAACATAAAATCAGACCTCATCAGTTATATATAGTCCAGACTCAACATTAAAATAGGGTTTCCTGGTTTGGTGCCGATAGCACAGTGGTTACGGTGCCAGCCACTTACACCGAGGCTGGCGGGTTTGAACCCAGCCTGCGCTAGCTAAAACAACAGTGACAACTGCAACAAAAACCTAGCCAGGCATTGTGGCAGATGCCTGTAATCCCAGCTACTTGGGAGGCTGAGGCAAGAGAATGGCTTAAGCCCAGGAATTTGAGGTTGCTGTGAGCTGTGATGCCACAGCACTCTACCGAGGGCAATGTAGTGAAAATAAAATAAGGTTTCTTGGTGAGAATACAGGACTCTGAAGTTGATTTTTTTTCTGCTTTTCCTAAAATAAAAAAGGGAAATTCCAACCTTACATAAAATCAGAGAAAATTAAATAAAAAAAATTATAGAAAGAGTAATATATTATGATATTGGGATTTTTCTAATATTACAAGTTGATTTACATTTTTAAAAACTCAGAGAAAGAAAAACCAGTAGATGTAAAAAATGACGAAATCAACACCCAGTTATAATAAAACTTCTTAGAAAACTGGAAGCAGATTTCCCTAATCTGATAGAGACCATTGACATAAAACAAACTAACAAAAAAAGACAAAACTAAAGTTATAGAGTTAACAGTAGACATCATATTTCTGATAAAAGAATGTTTTTCTTTTTAGTGAAATGAGATACAAGTGGTCTTTATTAATCATTTTGTTCAACAGCCTCTCTTATCTATTCTAGCAGCAGAATAAAGCAAGAAGAATAAATACAAAATATAAAAAATAGAAAAGGGAGAAATAAATTATTTTTATTTGTAGATAGTAATTGTGGACATAGAAACCAATATAAAAAATGAGAGGAACAGGGCTTCGTGACATGTGCCTCCTCCACAAAGAAGCATGAAAACAGAGACCAGATAACCACACACGGGAAAGAGTACATGAGAGATAGC